GAGGGTGGTTGGGGGTGGTTATGCTGAGGGTGGTGGGGGGTAGTGAGGCTGAGGGGGAAAAGGGTGGGTGATGGTGAGGGGGGTGAGAGAGCCTACCTGTCCTCCCTGGTGGTCCAGTGGGCTCCCTGGTGGTCCGGTGGCCACTTCTTCCGGTCTGCAGCTCCGCAGAGCTGCAGACCGTGTAATCTCGCGTGATTTCAGAGCGTTGCCATGGTAACCCGCAGCAACGCTCTGATTGGCTAATTCCTGCGAGACACATGGTCTGCAGCTCTGCTCACTACGGAGCTGCAGACCTGTGCCTGCGGTGTCTGGTCACTGACCGAGGGCCTGACACAGACTGCCATAAGGTGGTTTAGGCGGCCGCGAGGCCCTAGCCAGCGCGAGGCCTTAGGCGGCCGCCTAAACCACCTAATTAGAGAGCCGCCTCTGTCTGTTTTACAAGCTGCAGTTGAGTTCCAATCCAAATCACCCCAAGTAGCGTAACAATGGGATAACTACACTCTGGGGGATTGCTATATTCACACTATACTCCCCAAGGTAAGCTCTTGTAAGAGCTGTTCTTGTTCCTGCTACGCTCTCTGGAGGAAGAGAGGTCTGCCCACTGGAAGCTGGATCCTGGCCTTGGGTCCAGGGTGGGTGAAGGACGGCGAGACCCTGGCGCAGCTTCATCGCTGGAAGTGGGGTCTGCAGTGCTGATGGTGTCGGTGGAGTCCTCGGCAAGCACTAGGAGCATTAATTGGCGGAGTTACTCGGTCGGAGTGCCAGCGGTCCGTCACACATGGCAATGATGGTCACGGTGGAATTAACATATTGGGCTGACGCAGCTTTACCTCCAGGCTCAATCCCCAGTAATAGACCCATGATTACAGATTTAAAAAAGGAAAGTATCACTCCTCCCCATCATGCTCTATAATTCAGCGTGGATTGTGGAGATGCCATTTCTAATGTCCCCTTATCGCTACATTTACTACATTCTTTTCTTTCATTCTCTGACAGTGTGACATGCCCCCTCTCTGCCACACTCACTACATCCACCTCTTTCTCTGTCTGACAGTGTGACATTTCCCATTACCCCTACACTCACTACATCCACCTCTTTCTCTGTCTGACAGTGTGACATTTACACCCATTACCCTGACTGACACTCCGCCACACTCACTACATCCACCTCTTTCTCTGTCTGACAGTGTGACTTTCTCTGTCTGACAGTGTCTCATTACCCCTACACTCCGTATATCCACCTCTTTCTCTGTCTGACAGTGTGACATGTCCCCTCTCTGCCACACTCACTACATCCACCTCTTTCTCTGTCTGACAGTGTGACATTTCCCATTACCCCTACACTCCGTATATCCACCTCTTTCTCTGTTTGACAGTGTGACATGTCTCATTACCCCTACACTCCGTATATCCACCTCTTTCTCTGTCTGACAGTGTGACATGTCCACCTCTTTCTCTGTCTGACAGTGTGACACTCACTACTCACTCCACCTCTTTCTCTGTCTGACAGTGTGGCATGTCCCATTACCGCTACACTCACTACAGCCACCTCTTTCTCTGTCTGACAGTGTGGCATGTCCCATTACAGCTACACTCACTATTTCCACCACTTTTTTTGTCCCAGGATGCAGACCAGGAGCCCTGCCAACTAGTAAGAAGGATAGGAGAGGACAGTGAGTGCAGAGGACAGAGGATTCAGAGTCACTAATTAGTGAAAGATACAAGGTGGAAGCTCTGGGTATGGAAAATCGGGACAGATTGACTGGACTAAGATGTGTGGGAGTAGGGTTTATAAGAAGGATAAATACAGGCTGTGCTGTGAGTTGTGGGAGTTGGGTCTGTAATATGGATAAGGATAGACTGTGCTGAGAGTTGTGGAACTGAGATTTGTAAGATGGATACAGGTTGATTGGGCTGAGAGTTGTGGGAATGGCAACTGTAAGATGAAACAGATAGATTGGGCTGAGAGTTGTGGGAGTGGGGTCTGTAACAGGGGAGCCTCACAGCGATGACCATGGGATGAAGCCGACATAATATTCAGCGTATTGTATTTGTTCTGCTGAGTAGAATCATTCCCTTCAGGCTTTTTACAGTAAACACTGTTTGTTTCAGAGAAAATGCAGTCTTTACATGACAACCTAGGGATACCTCCACTGGCCACTCCTCAGATGGCTGCTAGAGGTGCTTCCTGGGGCAGTGCTGACATTCAGTGGGTTCATCATGTTGTTGTTCTTTGGCACTTGTTAAAGACATGTCTCTGAGGAAGTCCCTAAACAGGACAAAACGTGCTGGACAACTAGTGGTGACTTTTCTGAATTACACTTGCTGTTTTAAGTCAGTAAATTGTTATCAAGCTTCACTACTTATTTGCACTACAATTTAAAATGACACCCCATTACTACGGAGATTATGGGGGTCTGGACATCAAAGGAACAAGTTCTTATAAAGCATCATTTTTACCTACAAAGTGCGCGTTCTCAGAACTTTTCATACGCAGTTATGGGCTCATTTTTTTCTTTTTAGCAGAGTTTCTCCTGTTTTGTGTATATTCTTTCTAGAAGACAGGAGGAAATCTTTGGGCTATATCTCCTCTAAGGGAAGTTCTTTTCTATTGATTTTTTTGTTTTCTCACTGTTCGCGCTTTGGATTGTGACACTGATATACCTGCTGTTGCGTAGGAAGGGCCCCAGTGTATTGCTTTGCCCGGGGGCCATTAACTCTGTTAAAACGGTACTGCTTGTGTGTGTCAGTGAGCTTGTCTTTAGTGAGCTTGTGTGTGTCAGTGAGCTTGTCTTTAGTGGGCTTGTGTGTGTCAGTGAGCTTGTCTTTAGTGAGCTTGTGTGTGTGTCCCTGAACTTCTTTGTAGTGAGCCTTCTGTTTATACAAGTGAGTGTCTGTAGTAAGCTTGTGTGTGAGTCAGAGAGTTTTGTCTGTTAGTGAGCCTATTTGCGCATGTCAGTGAGCTTGTGTGCTTACTGTACTATATATATATATATTTAGACTTGTAGGAATGGCATACGTTTTTTTTCCAGGGCTGCTTTGGATTCCCAGGGATTCCCAGTTTGGCTCTGCCAGTGAGTGCACTTTACCACTGAATCATCTGTGTGCAAGACAAGCTTCTGAAGCTCTGTCCTTAAGGGGTTAAAGGGGAATATCTTCTAAATGTCTAAAAGTCTTCTTACTAAAACAACCTCAAACTCCTAAAACTGCATCATATGCATTTGTTAGTCACCCTATGTGGCGAAAGTGACCTCGCCACTGGTTTTTGGAGGGGCCTGTTTGCCAGCCTCCTACCCTGTGACTATGGCCCTGTGCTTCAATATTCCTATTAACCCACCTTTGACCTCAGCAGCCTCCAAACTACTTTCAATTACTTCCTCCCTCAGGGTATCACAGTGGGCTAATTCCCCCACCCATGTAGCTGGCAATACCCTTGACCTAATCTTCACTTATGCATGTACAGTATCTAATATCTGCAACACTCCATTTCCTCTCTCTGATCACCACCTCTTATCATTTCCTCTTGTGTACCCCCTCACCCAACAACCTGAGCCTAACCCCCCTCAACACAGGAGGGACCTTAATTCTCTTGATCTCCAGCAGTTGTCAGCTGATATTGATTCACGACTGCTGTCCATCCCTTCCCTATCCTGTTCTTCACTGGCCATCTCCGCATATAACACAACACAAACACACTGACATACAGATACACCCTCACCTCTGCCTTTAACACTGCAGCACCGCTCCAAACAAGCACCTCGAGGAGGACTCGCCCCAAACCATGCTATAGGAGTCAATTCAAGGTACTAATTCACACCTATAAAGCACTGAACAACTCTAGCCCCTCTTATATCTCCTCACAGATCCATAAGTATGTCCCTTCTCGGTCTCTCCACTCTGCCTGTGACCACCTCCTGTCCGTTGTCCGCACCCGTACGGCCAACTCACGCTTGCATGACTTCTCGCGGGCGGCTCCCTTCCTATGGAATAGTCTGCCTACCGCCATCAGACTCTCCCCTAGTCTTGCATCTTTTAAGAAGTGCCTTAAAATCCATCTCTTTAGGAAAGCTTATGGCCTTCCAGAGTAACCTCTACCTCCCATACCTGTCTCTTGCTCTCTCCTAAAGGGCAGCCCACCTTATTTGACTGCAAATTCCCGTCCTAATGTGTTTTACACCCCACCTCCTATAGAATCTAAGCTCGATTGAGCAGGGTCCTCTTCAACCTATTGTTCCCGTAAGTTTATTTGTAATTGTCCTATTTATATTTAAATCCCCCTCTCATAATAATAAGAAGCACTACGGAATCTGTTGGCGCTATATAAATGGCAATAATAATAATAATAACCGGTGGTTAAAGATACTGGTTTTGCCTTTTGAACTTCTAAGTGGAACAGATTCAAACTTTTAAAGTGGCACTTTGGATACAGTCAAAGTGTTGAAGTGGCCGCTGTGATGAAAGAGACTTTGCCACTGGGTTTTGGAGGGGACTACTTGCCAGCCATTTACCCTGTGACTATGGCCCCTGCAATAGAACTGGTTAATATACTTCAAACAGGCTCTGTTTGTGCAATTGGGACTACATGGTTTGTTTACCGAACAATTTCACTAAACAGAGACCACGCTGGAGCTTGTTAACACCTATTAACAATGTAGAACATTTCTCACCGCAGTGTTCTAATTGTTCGTCTGTGTGGCCGCGATTCTTATGGACAACAACGAGGTGGCGGCCATCTTGTTTCGCATGAATGCAGGCAGCGGTTTGGGCATGAATCTCATGGAACTGAAATCGTATACAGAAACTCCCGAACACCGCTGGACTTCCATCATCGCCTGCGTTCGTTTCTATTCAGCTTAGAAGGACACTGTTCGGTTAGATCATTCGTCTAGATGAAGGGAACAAGCTCCAGGCTAAGACTATTGACTCAGTTCGGTAGTTTGTTAGTTTTCAAACTACCGAACTAGATCAACCGCAAGCCCCAATTCTCTGGAACTGTTTTGGGCATGAAACCATGCGTGCGGTCGGTCAAAAAGAGACTTCCAGGAATTTCCTGAACCCCTGCTCTGATCTGGGATTTTTGGATATGTTGGATATGTGGTTCACCCAGATCAGATCACCCAGATCAGGGCTATCAGGCGATGTGACTTTTATGGGGATATGTTGTATTTTGGGGTACTTATTGGACTTGTGTGGTTTTTCTGTCTGGGGATAATTAAATTGTATTATCTACCTTAATTGTCTCACAGGCAGAGGAGAGGGATTGTGTACTGTGTGTGGGAGTGTCTTTCATTGTTACACTGTTTTTATTGCCTTGCATGTTTTGTGTCCTGTGCCCAACAAGGTCCACCTGGGCGTCACCCTTGTTGGGAAACTTGTATAATAGGCCAGTGTGTCCCATTAAACCTTGAGTTCCTGTTTAACCCTCAACACGTAGCCTTGTCTCGTGATTGGAGGGGAACTGCTTTATTCACACTGGGGATTGCTATACTCTTTATACTCCCCTGGGTTTTAATCACTAGCTCTTCTAAGAGCGGTTCCTGCTACGCTCTCTGGAGTAGGAGTGGTCTTTCCCACATGGTCCTGGATGTCAGAGGTTGGTCCAGGGTGGAAGGAAGACGGCGAGATCCCAGCTAAGCTACGGCGGTTGTGGAGTCTGCAGTGCTTGTGGTGTCCGGTGCGGTGCTTATGGTCCTCAGCATCAGCTAGGAAGCATCTGTTGGCGGAGGTGCCCAGTCGAGGTGCCATGTGACCTTTTACAGTCGACATTCAAACACGTGGCGGTGGCCATCTTATTTGGTCGAACGTGTTCAGCGGTGTTTTGTCGTAGAGTTCATGGAACTCAAATAGGACACCGCTGAACCTTCCAGGGAACTTTCCCAGAGGCAGACAGAGTCACAGGAAGAGGAGAGCATTGTCCTCCCTCCCCGGCGGCAGTGTATCCTACAGGGAGTGGAGACAATCAGTCTCCCTCCCCAACAGCAGTGTGTGTGACAGGGAGGGGAGACAACCGGTCTCACTCCCCAGCGGCAGGGTGAGTTTCAGGGAGAGGAGACAATCGGTCTCCCTCCCCAGCGGCAGTGTACCTTGCAGGGAGAGGAGACAACCGGTCTCTCTCTCCAACAGCAGCCGGAGATACCGGGAGAGGAGACAACTGTTCGTTCTCCCCAACCACATGGGGACAGCACTCCTGACCCCAATGGTGCAAATGGGACCACTGTCTCTGCAGCAGACCAGGAGGCGGAGGTAGGCGATCCCTTCTTTCCACAGCAGATCTGCAACCAGGTGCTGGGGGTAGTATTCGCTGACCCCATCCCATCTGCCCTACCTACCCCCTTGTTACAGGTCAAGGCTACGTACTAGTCCTCCCAGCAGAAGCGCTGGCACCAGGGCAGAGTGCAGTTAGTCTCTGCCCTCCCCTTGTCCTTGATCCTGGAACTACCAGTAATGACTTGTGGGTGGGCTACTGGACTAACTCAGGTACCGACCGCAAGGAGGTCAGGTACCAGGTTAGTGTCCCCTTAGGAAGGGAGATATGTGGCAAACCAATGGTTTTTGGAGGGGCCTGTTTGCCAGCCTCCTACCCTGTGACTATGGCCCTTTGCAGAACTGGGGGTTAAATATACTGTTTCTGCCTTTTGGACTTCTAACGGAACAGATACGAACTTTCGAAGAGGCACTTCTGCTACAGTCGAAGTGTCGAAGTGGGCGCCATTCGACATTCGAACACGTGGCGGTGGCCATTTTATTTGGTCAAACATGTTTAGCTGTGTTTTGTCATCAGGTTCATGGAACTCAAACCGGACATGTGACAGCACAAACACCGCTGAACAGTTACCTTCCAGGGAACTTCGACTATTCGAATGGGAGTTGAATGGCGTTCGGTAAGTCAAAGCACACGAACAAGGGACACACATTGACTATGTTCATTCACCTGTACGTTCGGTAATTCAAACGGTACTTCGATGGTTTGAAAAAGACCAATCGCACAGCCTAATTCTCTGGAACTGTTTTGGGTATGAAACCATGCGTGCGGTCGGTCAAAAAGAGACTTCCAGGAATTTCCTACTCTGATCTGGGTGATTTTTGGATATGTGTTCACCCAGATCAGGGCTATCAGGGGATGTGACTTTTATGAAGATATGTTGTGTTATGGAGTACTTATTAGACTTTGTAAAAATGTGTGTTTTGCTGCCTGGAGATAATTAAGTTAATGCATTATCTGCCTTAATTATCTCCCAGGCAGAGGGGAGGGATTGTATGTGTGTTATGTGAGTGTCGTACAGTTAATTACTGTTCTTATTGGTTTATTCAAGCAAAAGAAAGTAGAACTAGAGCCAAATCAAAGGTACACTTTTAAAGAACGGGGGGTAACCCCAAATATGAACATAGCAAGAAGAACAAGTTGTGTACCTGTATGTAATCGGTGTAAAATAAAGAACAAAATAGGTACGATACTAAGTATATCAGTCTCAGACAAATATGCTGAGAAGATATACTATTAAGCAAAGTATACCACTGATATATAGTAAAAAAAGAAAATAACAAACGAATTTTATTGACTTAGTATTAAAACCAAAACGTGCTAGTGTACATATGTGAAAAACACAAATAAGTGCTACAATAAATATCCAAAAATAAGTGTGCAAATCAAAAAAGGATAAAAAATATATCTACCAGTAGTTAAATCTTAATGTATCAGGACTGGCAAACAATCACCAGGCCACTTAGTAGGTATATATCGCAAAAAAAAAAATTAAAGAAAACGCTGGTGAATCTCAGCACTTCATGCAGCTGTACTAAGTGCTAGGGGATTGTAGCTAGTATTGTAATGAATTTATACAAACTTGATAATCAAAAGAATTTTGATAACAATGTATAGATACAAAAAGAGCACAGCTCCACATACAGGCTAATGGGAATCACAGCGAATATATTAGCAACATTGTAACTGAAGCTTAAACAGCCTAAGCAGTCCAGTGTTTCATAATAAGCAGCTGCAGCTTATCCGACTGTGTTGAGAGGATCTAATAGTACACTATGAAAAAATGGATGTAACGCTGGATATAAATTACTGCTATAGCAAATAATACCTCTGTGATAGCATTAGATATAAATGGATGGATTTAACACTAGATATAGATTACTGCTATAGCAAATATTACCTCTGTGCCTTCGAGGGCACCTAACTGTCATCCAGCTAACACAGAATTAATCGAACATGAGATTAACCGTTTGATTAGCGGCTAAGCTCAATCTAAAAAATAACTTGTTATAGATACACCTAATAAATAAAAAACTATGAATCTGAAAATAGGTAATTTAGTATGATATTTTTGCCTTCAGGGGCACCTACCACTAGTCCTGCTAGACACAGAGGAAAAAAGATAAGAAAATGAAGGAGTCATTGGACTAGCTATCATCCTGCTAAGTTAAAGTCAGGAATACCTTTTGGCCAGTACCTGCGCGCAAGGTGCAACTGTTCCACTGAAATATCCTTTCAAAAGGAAGCCAATAAAATAAGAACGATGTTCAAACAGAAAGGCTACCCAAATAGAATTCTGAAACGAGCCTATCAACGAGCATTACTAACAGACAGAAGTGAAAGTCTAAGATTTTGTAAACCTCAATTAGAAACAAAAATAACTCGCTGTATAGGCACGTACGATTTATATTGGGATAAAGTACAAAAGATAATGACACACAATTGGCCAATACTTCAACACGACACAGATCTGGTTGAAAGCATTGGCAATTTTCCTCAAATTACGGCACGCAGGGCTAAAAACTTGAGAGACGTCTTGGTTCACAGTCACACTGAGCCCACTAAACCATTACAATCCACATGGTTAACTCAGACTACGGGTATTTATCGCTGTGGACATTGTAAGGCATGCCAATTTATTAAACCCACTAAAACAGTAACAAGTTCCATAACAAAAAAAGAATACAAAATTAAGGAATTTATTAACTGTAGTTCTACCCGGGTCATTTATCTAATTACATGTTGCTGTGGTATCCAATATGTAGGCAAAACCTACCAGCAATTAAAACGAAGGATACTACAGCACATTTGTTCCATCACCAACCTAAACATCTCCACTCCAGTATCAAACCATGTTCGGAACCACCATCAGGCTGACCCAACACACCTTACATTCCAAGCATTAGAGAAATTAACCTTAAACACCAGGAAAGGGAATTTTAATAAAATTCTCCTAATGAAAGAGTCTAGATGGATTTATTTTTTAAAAACATTAGCACCTGACGGTTTAAACGAAGAGTTTAATTTTACCCCCTTTATACACCAATAAACAACTTGGCTAACTCTGAACCTACCCTTTTCTGGACAAGTTTAGGATTTATTCACCATTTACTAACTGTATCTCTATAACATTAATGTTTTTAAGGTGGCTGCCTTTATACATATAAATACATTATAAGAATTTAATACCTTTTTCCAGGCTAATTTTCATGTTCATCTATTCTCAGGTATTAAGTTATTATTTGCTTACACATTATGATAGCCAGTTTAATTTTTCATAATTATAGAGTAATATATTGTCTAATTATTTGTCTCTTTTATTTATTTATTTATTTTTTATTTTTTGTTCATTTATATTTATTAAACATAGTTTGAAGTTATTCATTATATCTATATTTTATTTGGGATAAGGCTTTAATTTATATAAATTATAAATTTATAATTAGCGATATTTATGGCAACCTTATTCTATTCACAACATTTATTTATTTGAAAAATGTTCTTTCCTCTTTAATCATTATTGTTGGTTAAATTCTAATTCAGAAATCCAGTAGAGAAAGGGTTAATCAATTTGGGATAAGGAATTTATTATTTATTATTCATTTGCTGCACTATTCATTTAGTTTAATTTAATTTTTTATTGTTTCCTTTTCCCCTAATATTTCATTTTCCAATTATAACCAGCAATTTTTAGGGCAACCTTACTCTATTCTTAACATTTAAAAATGTTCTTTCCTCTTTGATTATCATTGTTGTCTAAATTCAATTGAGAAATCCAGTAGAGAAAGGGTTAACAAACTCATCCGATTGACTCCTCTTGTTACAAGTTTGATTTCGTCATAACTCAATTAACGAGCATTAACCAATCAGTAATCATCTCTGTCAACCAATAGAGATATTTCTTCACAGATTTAAACCAGACGCAGTGTACCGACCGGTTCCCCTCTGACGAGCCAGGTCGGGCGAAACGCGCGCGTCAGGGCGTTTCAATAGTACTTCCCCTATGATCGGGGGTGAAGTATTTCGACTTGCAACCATGCTATCTTCTCATCACTTTTAACTTATCTTAATATTGATAAGCTTTTTGAGTGTGCGCATCAATTTTTTAGCACACTCTATTAGAGAATCCTATCAGTGATGTAGACATTATTATTTTTTCGTATTTCTGCTTTGTATCTATACCAGTGGGATTAGTGACAGGTGCCCTTGAAGGCACAGTTTACAGCACAGGTCTAGTTTCAGACTAGGGGGATCACAGCACAGGATTAATTAAACCTTTAATAGATACTTTCATTATTATTCCTACTATAGCTTTACCGTCATTGAAACGGTTGTTTTCTCTCTCCTTCATTTTCTTATCTCTTTTCTTCTGTGTCTAGCAGGACTAGTGGTAGGTGCCCCTGAAGGCAAAATATCATACTAAATTACCTATTTTCAGATCCATAGTTTTTTATTTATTAGGTGTATCTATAACAAGTTATTTTTTAGATTGAGCTTAGCCGCTAATCAAACGGTTAATCTCATGTTCGATTAATTCTGTGTTAGCTGGATGACAGTTAGGTGCCCTCGAAGGCACAGAGGTATTATTTGCTATAGCAGTAATTTATATCTAGTGTTAAATCCATCCATTTATATCTAATGCTATCACAGAGGTATTATTTGCTATAGCAGTAATCTATATCTAGTGTTAAATCCATCCATTTATATCTAATGCTATCACAGAGGTATTATTTGCTATAGCAGCAATTTATATCCAGTGTTACATCCATTTTTTCATAGTGTACTATTAGATCCTCTCAACACAGTCGGATAAGCTGCAGCTGCTTATTATGAAACACTGGACTGCTTAGGCTGTTTAAGCTTCAGTTACAATGTTGCTAATATATTCGCTGTGATTCCCATTAGCCTGTATGTGGAGCTGTGCTCTTTTTGTATCTATACATTGTTATCAAAATTCTTTTGATTATCAAGTTTGTATAAATTCATTACAATACTAGCTACAATCCCCTAGCACTTAGTACAGCTGCATGAAGTGCTGAGATTCACCAGCGTTTTCTTTCATTTTTTTTTTTGCGATATATACCTACTAAGTGGCCTGGTGATTGTTTGCCAGTCCTGATACATTAAGATTTAACTACTGGTAGATATATTTTTTATCCTTTTTTTGATTTGCATACTTATTTTTGGGTATTTATTGTAGCACTTATTTGTGTTTTTCACATATGTACACTAGCACGTTTTGGTTTTAATACTAAGTCAATAAAATTCGTTTGTTATTTTCTTTTTTTACTATATATCAGTGGTATACTTTGCTTAATAGTATATCTTCTCAGCATATTTGTCTGAGACTGATATACTTAGTATCGTACCTATTTTGTTCTTTATTTTACACCGATTACATACAGGTACACAACTTGTTCTTCTTGCTATATTGGTTTATTCCCTTTGTGTTCCTGTGCCCAACAACGTCCACCTGGATGTCACCCTTGTTGGGAAACTTGTAAAAAAAGGCCAGTGTGCCTCCATTAAAATAGAGTTCCTTTTTTACCTTCAACATAGAATCTCATCTCATGTGTGGGGGAAAAGGCTCTATCTACCCTGGGAATTGCTATATCACTATACTCCCCTGGGATTATAATCATTAGCTCTTTTAAGAACTGTTCCGCTCTCTGGAGTAGGAGAGGTTCACCTACTGGAAGCTTGATCCTGGTCTTGGGTCCAGGGTGGGTAGAGGACGGCGAGTTTCCAGCCAAGCTGTAACACTGGACGTGTAGTGCTGATGATGTCTGTTGGAGTGTTTGGAGTCCTCGGTGAGCACTAGGAGCATCCGTCGGCGGAGGTACCCAACCGGGGTATGGGAAGCTCTTTACATCCTACATTTGAATGTTTTATTTGATTGCCCTCTGGGTATTAAGGGACTCATTGAGCCTACATTGTTTAGTAATTTACTGTTTAGTAGATATGCCCCAAATGATAGCATGTATGCATTTAATGATGTAATTTTCATTGGGGTTTAATCTAAAATCTGATAGCAAAACTTGCAGTTCTCGTGACTGCTACTTTTGCATTCCCTCCCTTGCTAACCTCACCCAGACTTTCTCTCTATGGTTTACATGCATTAGGAACATCATTCAGTCATGTTCAGTGTAGCGGACTCCGGGTAACCTGACTGATTACCTCCACTGTTTCTCCTCTCAGACAGACTGGAACCATGTGTGATTAAGCTCATATTCCCCCAGTAACTAGACGAGACATAGTTCTGGGAGTCATCTAGTTTAATCAGGCCAAACATGCTCAATTTATACACAGACCCCCAGCAAGAGGTCTCCATACTAAAATATTACAAGCCAAACAAACACTCAGATACACACACTGACATACACACACTATACACACACTGACATACAGATATACACACCCCAACACAAACACACTGACATACAGATACACACTGACACAAACACTCAGATACATATACACACACTGACATACAGATATACACACACCAACACAAACACACTGACATACAGATACACACTGACACAAACACGCAGCTACACTTCTTCCTTGATGCTCTGGTCCTGGCTGAGGCTGATGGGAGTGAGCATGCAGTGGCAGCTCACTCCAGCCTCTCTTCTGACTCCATGCTGCTGTGTGGCTCTGCTGGGGGGCTCAAATCATATATAATATCCTGGAAACAAACACACACAATTTGATATACATGGTATGTGTGATTACCGGGATAGTACACATGATATGAGGGTGTCAGGGAGCCGCATTAAGAATAAGGGAGTCTCACAAAACTATTGGGAGACTTGGGATGTCTGTGGATGATAGTCTCGTTCTCCCGAAGAGTGCTCTCCTAACTGTTCGGGGCACGGAGCAGGTAGTGGTAGAGTTTCTCCGATTTTCGCAAGGTCGTCTATCGGAAAAGGAGCCAACCAAGGCAAAGCACTCATTAATTGTTTCTTTTGCTGTTTCCCACGTATGTATTAATCGGTGTTCCGGTGTTCTAATGAGGTACAGGGGGTCTCCCCATTCAGGAGCCGAAACAAGTGGGTTCGGGTATGATAACTCCCGAAAGTAAGAAAAGTCAAATAGTCACAATGAACAGTACGTTCCGCCACATTCAGTTTAAGCAATTAAGTTATATCTGATGCTAATATTACTGAGACATTCTACCATTATTCTAGCATTTGCCATTGCTTTCAATCCTAATCTTCCATGCCAGCTGTGTATGCATAAGTGTTTATCATCCTCCTAAGCATTCCGCATGTAGGTCTTTTTAATGTATATCTTATATCTCCTGTCTCTTCCTATATATTATGTATGGCCATCACGGCCCCTAGCCTGTTCAGCCACTGTGGCATTCTAGAAGTATACTAGAGGCCTCCGTTCCAGTTTTGATTCTGTCTTCCGACACCTTGTTTTATTGGACTCAGTACATATGTATTATATGACGTTTTATAAAGGTTTACATACAGTCTCCATTTTGTTCACCATTTCATAAACTACATGATTATTAGTAACTCTACCATGTCATCACCAACATGTCTTAGTTACATACTAGGAATGGCAGATGGATTACTGTAGGATCTGGTAGACAGAGTTGTGGATATTGCGCAGTCTGTTGCTCTCCATAATTTATATTCAGTACTTTCAGAGTGTAATGGTGTTGTGGAGACAGGCTCAGGCACGGAGTGTAGTGGTGTTGTGGGGACAGGCTCAGGTACTGAGGGTAGTGGTGTTATGGAGACAGGCTCAGGCACGGAGTGTAGCGGTGTTATGGAGACAGGCTCAGGCACTGAGTGTAGTGGTGTTGTGGAGAGAGGCTCAGGCACTGAGGGTAGTGGTGTTGTGGAGACAGGCTCAGGCCTCACCACTGGTTTTTGGAGGGGACTGATTTCCAGCCTCGTGCCATGGGACTATGGCCCCTGGGAAATTGGGCACTTTAAAAACAGTCTTGGAGCTTATGGACTTCTACTGGACTATGTATGGCCTTTGCTAAACTTTAACCAGCTAATCACTTTAACATGGTGATTTTATTCTGTTCGTGGGATCTGAGCGCTGTTCGGATATATTGAGCGCTCAGATCTAAACTATCTGGGGATGGGTTGAATGTGGGGGTTCTGTTCAGTATAATAGGAATTTGTATTTTTATGTGTTTTTACTGTTGTTGTGAATAGAGATATTTTCTGTATGCTGGAGATAATTGGCTTACCACACCCAAACCATGCTTGCAGTCAGTCAAAAAGGGAGTATGCTGATTCTGAAAATGTAAGTTTTATGTGAATGTGATGCATACTTTTAAAGTTATGAATATTGTGAAAAACTGTATTTTCCTGCCTGTGATAATTACGTTAACCCGTTGTGTTCAGTAATTATATCACAGACAGAGAGGAGGATTTTGCTGTAATGGCTGGGTGTGTCAGACATTGTTGTATTGTTTCAATTGGTTTGTGTCCTTTGTGTGCCAGTGTTCCATCAGGTCCAGGGGTGTGTGCCTCTGGCCTGAGGAATTATATAAATTGTGAGTGCTTCCTTCCATTAAACAGTTCTACTTCACCCTCAATTTGGAGTGCCGTCTCTTATTGGGGGAATCTGCTAAAAGAGATTGCTATGCTCTGCATATTCCCTTGCTATAATCACTCCTAAGCTCTTTTAAGAGCTTGTTCCTGCTTCGCTCTGAAGGAAGAGAGGTTCGGCCTGGTGGTGTCTGCTAGAGTGCCTGGAGCCCTCAGGAAGCGCTAGGAACATCCTTCAACGGAGGTAACAAGTCAGGGTGCCAGGTGATCCGTTACAGCTGCGTATTAGGGACTTTAACTTGTGGCTTGGTGAATGGTGTCGGGAGCAAGGATTTGGCTTCATTTCTCATGGTAGCTCTGTTTGGAATAGAAATAAACCGTACAAAAAGATGGTTTGCATCTTTCTCAAAAGGGAACAAGTGTTCTCAGAGGTTTTGCTAGGATGTATTTAAACTAGGAGAGGGGGGAGGTAGGGCAAAAGGTGATAAAACATCAATCCAATTGCCCCTCAAAACAAGAACAGAAGGTGCCTGTAGCAAGTGTGTTAAAAATTTATAAGCTTAGAGTCATGTCTACAAATGCTCGCAGTTTAGGGAATAAGATCCATGAACTTGTGGCAATAATGGCAACTGATAGTGTAGATTTAGTCGCTGTTACTGAGACATGGTATAATGAGAAAAATGACTGGGACATATAAAGAAAAGACAGTGAAAGCCCTGGATGGCCCTGTATGTGAAGGATAGCATAAAATCTAGCCTAATAAAAGTTTGGGTTACGTAGAATTTGGTAATCACACAGTAACTCGTGTAGGTGTGATTTATAGGCCCCCAGGACAAATAGAAGAGTTAGATAACCTACTAGTTGAGGAAATAGCTAAAATGACAATGAAGGGCGAAGTTATCATCATGGGTGACTTTAATCTTCCTGATGTGAATTGGAAAACAAAAATAGCTGCTTGTGCCAGGAGCACACATATTCTAAACTCTCTACTGGCATTGTCTCTAAAACAAGTTGTTGAGGAGCCAACTCGTAAGAAGGCCATACTAGATTTAGTGTTAACAAATGAGATTTATTATCAGATATTACTGTAGATGAAAGTTTAGGAACCAGTGATCATCAGTCAGTGTGGTTTAATTTATAATTTTTTATTTTTTTTGTAAATTTCTTTATTATGTTTTTTTCATGTTGTAAAATGCAATAGGTTGATAAACATTATGAAACTCGCAGGTTTCTTATACTCATAGGAGCTTATTATACATTGAGATATGCAAATCTCTGCGTAAGCTTCAATGGTAGGGAGACTCGCAGGTCTCTTAGCAAGGTGTACCTCATGGTCACGTCATTCAGATGCGAGATTGTAAGTCCCTAATACCGGTGCCATGGTATTTGGCTATAGAGGTTTACTTTTTAGTTAACAAAATACAGAAATGTGTTTTAATATGCTCCTACATAAGCCTAGGATTGTATTTCTGAGTTTGCTATCGTCTCAGTCCCAGTGTTTGTCAGTGTGGTCAAGTGTCTCGTGTCATCAGTCTGCAAGTGGATCAGGTTTAGGGTCCTTTCGGTCCTTGTTTCTCCAGATTGGGCCGTATCGTCTTTGGCCAGGGTCAGGGCATTTGTGTATGTTTTATTGTGTGGTCTGGCGTTTACCTGGACGTGTGTGTGGTGGTGTGGTAGGGTCCCCAGTCCCTATATGCGTCTGGTCTTATTCGGTGCTGTCTTATTTTGCCTCTGAAGGAGGCCAGGGGTAGGGTATGCAGGCACCAGTCGCCATCGCCCGAGGCAGGTCCGGGTAACGGAGGGAAAGAAGAAGAGAAAGAAAGGGGGGGTAGAGGGTGGGGGGAGGGGCTCCAAGGGGGGGTTGCTTGTATAAGTTATATATTGGTCATGTGTGTCTCAGTGTCCCCTGTGTCTCCCCCCCCTCCCCGTGCTCGTGGACGTGTTAGGTACATGTACCATGGCCTCCATAAATCTACGTGTTTGGTGCTTCTCCCTTGTAAGTCCGCGTTCTTTGCCTCCGCTGTGTGAATTTCCATAACTTTCTGTTGCCATTGCGCAATTGTGGGTGGTTGTGTGCTTTTCCACAGCGTTGGGATTAAGGCTTTAGCCACATTGAGTAGATGTCTCAGAATTGATCTCTTATATTGTACCACGGATTGGTCCGTGAAGTGGAGTAGGGCGACTTCTATGCTAAGGTCCGGTATGTCGCCCAGGATCACATTCAGTTCTTGTCGGATTTGGTCCCAGTATGGTTGTATTTTAGTGCAGTCCCACCATATGTGTCATACTGTTCCTGTGTGGGTCTCGCATCTCCAGCATGTGTCAGGGGTCCCTGGGAATATCCTATGTAGCAACACAGGTGTTCGGTACCAGTGGGATAGTAGTTTAAAATTGGCCTCCTGGTATTTTGAGCTGATCGAACTCTTATGTTGCAGTATGAGGATCTGTTCCCATTGTGCGTCACTGTATGTCCTGCCCGTGAGGTCTTCCCATTGACCTTTAAATGCTATATTCCTGACTCGGTCGCCCAGCAGTATTCTCTGGTATATTATGGAGACTCTCCCATCCGCTTCAGGTGTGTCGACGCACAGGTTTTCGAACCATGTTGTATCCCTATGTACCGCCTGTCTGTTCAGGATATTATAGTAGAAATGCCTTAGTTGTGCATAGCGGAACCTGTGCATGAGAGTGGGGATTGCGGTCCCGGTCCATTCCTGTAGGTTCTTTAGCCCTGCATTGTGTAGCGCCTCCTTCAGAGGAGATATTCTTCTCCATTAGTTTCTGGCCATGCACCTCTCGCTAGGCCGCCTCCCAGATCCACGTTATGTGTCAGTGGGATCAGCGGGCTCGGTTGTGGGGAGATATAGGATTCCTTTCTCACTATAGCTCATGTTTGTAGTGTTTGTGTGACAGGTGAGGTCTTACTCGTATTCGGTGATTCTCCCCTAGCTTGGTGCCACACCAGTGAGGGTAGGGTGCCGTGCATACTTTCCCTGTCCAGGTCTGCCCATCTTTTGTGGTTCGGGGCTTTGTGCCAGTCCCTGATCCTCTGTAGAACAGCAGCATGGTAGTATTTCCGTATGTCGGGCAGTGCTAGTCCGCCCCATGATTTGGGTAGGCACCCTTTCCAGATATAACTGCTTATCGCTGATTTTATTGTCGCGAAGAAGTCCGGTGGTATATGCCACGGTATGGTGTTGAAATAGTACAGGAGTCTTGGCAGAATATTCATCTTCACTACCGCTAATCGTCCCTGCCAGGAGATGTACTCATGGTTCCACGTCTTCAGGTCTCTTTGAATTTGTTGAAGGAGCGGGGTGTAATTCCTTGTGTATATTTCTGTTGGTCTGCATGGGATCCATATGCCAAGGTATTTCATCTGATCTTCACAGCATGTGAAGGGGTAGGTCTGTTTGATCTGGTTCCAGTCCGGTGACGGGGTCGAAACTTGTAGTATTTCGCATTTTGTATGATTCAATTTGAGCCCTGATGCTCGGCCATAGTTTTCAAACTCCTCCATTAATACTGGTAGCGTGTTCAGTGTGGTTTAATATAAGAACAGTGACTGAGTCACACCACACACAAAGAAAAGTTTTAGACTTTAGAAAAACAGACTTTTTAAAAATTAGAATATGTGTAAAGGAGTCATTATCAGACTGTAGCAGTTTAAATGGAGTCCAAGAGTTGCACTGCTGAAGGCAACAGAAAATTGCATTAGGCTTGTCAGTAAAAGCAAAAAATTCAAGAAACCACTGTGGTACTCCGCAGATGTGGCCAAAATAGTTAAAAACAAAAAGTTAGCATTTAGGAATTATAAAAAAAAACAGAGTGAGGAAGACAGAATGATCTATAAGATTAGGCAGAAAGAGCCTAAGCAGGTTATAAGAGCTTCCAAATCACACACAGAAGAGAAAATAGCACAGTCAGTAAAAAAAGGGGGACAAAACATGTTTTAGATACATAAATGAGAAAAGAAAAGTAAAACAAGGATTAGTTAGATTAAAAACAAAAGAAGGAAGGTATGTAGAAGAGGATAAAGGTCTAGCTGACTGCCACAATGAATATTTTTGTTCAGTATTTACAGATGAAAATTAAGGAAAGGGACCTCAGTTAGAAAAAAGTACAAATGAGTCATTTATTACACGTGAGTTTACAGAGGAAGAGGTTCTATTTCAACTTTCATTGTTAGCTCTATGCCTATGGATAATAAAGGTTTCGTAATTTTGGGGGCTTTTAGGCTACTAGTGTATTTAAAGTTGTACTTTTTCCATTTGGAGGGAATGTCTTGGATATTGTTTTCTTTTGATTTCTAGTTCTAGTAATTAGGGTTATCCCCTGCTCAATTAGTGCTTAACAGTGGGATATAGTCATAGGTCTTCCCTGGCTTATGGTTCTAGCTAGCAGAAGACGTCTTGACCTATCCCTTGGTTAACTTTTTCTTTATTAAACTAGAAAAATGGTCAGAGTTGTGGCACCTGACATTTAATGTGGATAAGTGCAAGATAATGCATCTTGGACGTAAAAACCCAAGGACAGAGTACAGAATATTTGATAGAGTCCTAACTAGAGTTGAGCGAACCCGAACTATAAAGTTCGTACCGAACATTACGTTTTTTGACCCCAAACCCAAGCCCGAACATTTCAGCAACAGTTCGAGTTCGGTGATTTAATGGTGTGTTTTGAAAAAGGGGAGGACCTATTGTCCTCCCCCCGTCCCCCACCCCTGAGCGGCGGGTGGGGGCCCTAAAGTAAAATAATGGGGGGGGGGACCTATTGTCCTCCCCCGGCCCCCATCCCTGAGCGGCAGGTGGGGGCCCTAAATACCAATAAGGTGGGGGGACCTATTGTCCGTCCCCCTGGCTCCCACCCCTTCCCCCACCCTGCAGAGCTCAGTCTCCATGGGTGAAGATGGATTAGTTTTTTGCGCTTGTTTTTTTTTTGTTTTGTTTTTTTAAGTGCGTCAGTTATTATGGATTTTTATTTGGCCTTTTTTGGGGCTGAAAAAAGAAGATTTTAGAAGAAAGAAAACATCAAATGATAAATTTTATTTTATTTTTACAGGTACTTAGTTAAAGGCCCCACTTTTATTTAGGGCCCCCACCTGTCACTCAGGGGTGGGGGCCAGGGGGGAGGACAATAGGTCCCCCCAATTGGTATTTAGGGCCCACATCCACTGCTCAGGGGTGGGGGCCAGGGGGGAGGATATTAGGTCCCTGCCCCCAATTTTTTTTAGGGCCCCCACCCACCGCTCATGGGTGGGGGCCAGGGGGGAGGATATTAGGTCCCCCCCTTATTTTAATTTAGGGCCCCCACCCACCGCTCAGGGTTGGGGGCCAGGGGGAAGGACATTAGGTCCCCCCACTGCTATTTAGGGCCCCCACCCACTGCTTAGGGGTGGGAGCCAGGGGGGAAGACATTGGGTCCCCCCATTCTTATTTAGGGCCCCCACACTCAGTGTCCCCACATTAGGGTCCCCCCCCTAATTGGTAGATAGGGCCCCCACCCACCGCTCAAGGGTGAGGGCCAGGGGGAGGACATTAGGTCCCCCCCAATTTTTATTTAGGGCCCCCACCCACCGCTCAGGGTTGGGGGCCAGGGGGAAGGACATTAGGTCCCCCCACTGCTATTTAGGGCCCCCACCCACTGCTTAGGGGTGGGAGCCAGGGGGGAAGACATTGGGTCCCCCCATTCTTATTTAGGGCCCCCACACTCAGTGTCCCCACATTAGGGTCCCCCCCCTAATTGGTATATAGGGCCCCCACCCACCGCTCAAGGGTGGGGGCCAGGGGGGAGGACATTAGGTTCCCCCCAATTTTTATTTAGGGCCCCCACCCACCACTCAGTGTCCCCACATTAGGTGTCCCCTCACAATTTTTATTTAGGGCTCCCACCCACCGCTAAGGGGTGGGGGCCAGGGGGGAGGACATTAGGTACCACCCCTTATTTTACTTTAGGGCCCCCACCCGCCATTCAGGGGTGGGGGCTCAGGAGGGGAGAACCTTTTTTTTATTATTATTAATAGACATGCCCCTACTCGCAGTATAGAAAGTAGGGGCATAATTTACTAATACTAATTAATCTTTACTTAGTATTAGTAAATTTAGCTGAAAGACCAATTGAGGTTTTTCCGCCTTTTAGTAGATAACTCCCTAATACCGTGGGAATTAGGGAGTTATCTACTTATTCATTCCTGTCATTACACTGACTGGCCAAGTAACTTACATTTTATATGAATGTGTGTTACTTGATTGTTGTAAGTGTTGCAAATGCTTACAGCTGAATCCTGGCTATGTTTGAATACTTTTTATTTAAAATTGTAAACAGTGTAACATTCTTCTTCTTCCACTGGGTAAGTATATAAGTACTTTGGCAATACATTTTACTTCCTTTTGCAGCCCTCTAGCCCTTTCCAGGACTTTTTTAGAGCCATTTTAGTGCCCAAAAATTCAGGTCCCCATTGACTTCAATGGGGTTTGGCTTCGGGGTCAAGTTCGGGCCAAGTTCAAACCCGAACTCAAACTTTTTGGAACTCAGGCCTAAATTAAGTACATCAGGTATTCAGTGTTTGAGGTAATCTGTTCATTTTCAGTTACTCCACTTGTCCGCAATGTTATGTTTTGATATCCCTTTCTGTCACAATGCCTACTTGCTCCAAATTTGCTGCAGGCTATCCTCAACTCGATAATCTGTGATTGTACCCTCGCCTTAACATATACTTAACAAGGGTCATGTTGGTCAATTATTCCTGCCACCTCCTTTTATAAAGAGCAAAAGGAAGGGCATAATAATCTCACAACCAGTGAGATAAATTCCCACTTATTATGTAGCAGTATCCTGAGTGCTAGGTGACTGCAATGAATAAAAAACAAAGGTAACAAGACATAAAAATACCAAAGATAACTAATTAGATAGATACAATAAAACCATAAGCCTTAGAAGGCTGTTCCTCTACCTCATACTGCTATACAGTGATGCTGGCGCTATATAAATACCAGTAGTAGTAATAATACAGTGACGAAGTAACCCTAAGAAAGTTAGAACAGCATGCACAAAGTTGGCTTTATTATAACATTGGCCAATAGGAGCAGTGTTCAGTAAGGGATTAATCCAAAGTAATAAATAGTTTGATTCCTTGTCTAGAGGGGGTTAAAATCCCTATCGCTAAAGAAATTATAGTGTCCTAGATAGGGTGGAGTACCATTAGTTGTATGCCGATAATCTCATTAAATACTGTATAGAAAGAACTAGGATGCCCAACATTGTGCCTTCATTCTCACTTCATAGAGGTTTATAGATATTCACATGGATCCTCATAGCATGCTAAATCAACATATGACCATCTAGAGAAGCCTCCCTCCCTTTAAATCGAACTAGATAGTTAGAGTACATAATTGAAGAGATAAAGAAAATTAGAATCAATCAATTATGTCAATACGTAAGTTTGGATAACACCAAACGTGCAAAAGGTGAAATAACGTTAAAATAGTAACAACCCAACGCGCGTTTCGGTGCAAAAATATGTGCACCTTCGTCGGGTCAAAGAGTACAATGAGATCAAATCCCTTTATATTAGTATACCCGACATGGTTCCCTATGGTCGGAGCCAATCACTTATATATACACGTCATCCATCATAGGTGACCGCTGTACACACAGTCTCATTTATTCAATGAGTGCCTCCCATTTCTGTAGAGACCAGTCAAATGTGTTTGGGGGGGTGTGTTTACTATTTTCCTGAATGGATAATGTGATCGTATGTGTGAAAAAACTTTAGTGATATTATATGATTTCAATTCAACTTTCCATTAAGGTAAACACTAAGAAAAGCCTATTACTTATGTGAAATTCAACGAGGATAATTTATAGATCGTAAGGTCGCAAGTTTAATATAAAATAAGCACAAGTAACAATAAAGTGCCCTCAATCAGGCTGGATGAAATCCAGAATAATTCGAGAAGCAGGTGCTGGGAGCGGTCATTATAAAGATCAATAAATAAACATTTCAGGTCTCACCCTCCTCTGCCACATTCTCCAAGTAGGAAAGTAGTTCCTCGTAATTTGGGTTTTCTTCAGTCCCCTCCTTTAACAGTCAAACAAAACATTTATAATTTACCTAAAGGTTTAATATGTAAACATTAATAGCACAAGCAACCAATACACAACCAATACATAACACACCAATATCAACGGTACACAATAACACAATCAATTACAATATAACCAATACAAATAAAGAACAAAAATAGAACAAACCTGAGCTCTGCATTACAATACAGACAATACATCCAAGCAGGCTTTATTAACCCCTTAAGGACACATGACGGAATATTCCATCATGATTCCCTTTTATTCCAGAAGTTGTGTATTTAAGGGGTTAAACAACACAAGCTATACAAACAACAGACAACAACACAACAAAGGAGCCTACAGATGCAGTGGCTGAGGAGGCAAGCTGGTAGGGGTACTGATACTGGTAGGGAGGCTGTGGGCGCGGGAAAGCTATAGGTTCTGGGAGGCTGTGGGCGCGGGAAAGCTATAGGTTCTGGGAGGCTGTGGGCGCCAGGAGGCTATAGGTTCGGGGAGGCTGTGGGCACGGGAAGGCTATAGGTTCTGGGAGGCTGTGGGCGCAGGAAGGCTATAGGTTCTGGGAGGCTGTGGGCGCAGGAAGGCTATAGGTTCTGGGAGGTTGTGGGCATGGGAAGGCTATAGGTTCTGGGAGGCTGTGGGCGCAGGAAGGCAATAGGTTCTGGGAGGCTGTGGGCGCCGGGATGCTATAGGTTCTGGGAGGCTGTGGGCGCGGGAAGGCTATAGGTTCTGGGAGGCTGTGGGCGCGGGAAGGCTATAGGATCTGGGAGGCTGTGGGCGCGGGAGGCTATAGGTTCTGGGAGGCTGTGGGCGCGGGAAGGCTATAGGTTCTGGGAGGCTGTGGGCGCGGGAAGGCTATAGGTTCTGGGAGGCTGTGGGCGCAGGAAGGCTATAGGTTCTGGCAGGCTGTGGGCGCCGGGATGCTATAGGTTCTGGGAGGCTGTGGGCGCTGGGATGCTATAGGTTCTGGGAGGCTGTGGGCGCGGGAAGGCTATAGGTTCTGGGAGGCTGTGGGTGCGGGAAGTGTAACGGATCACCTGGCACCCCGACTGGGTACCTCCGTTGAAGGATGCTCCTAGTGCTTCCTGAGAACTCCAAGCACTGCAGCAGACACCATAACCACCGTAGACTCCTCCAGAGAGCAAAACAGGAACAAGCTCTTACAAGAGCTTAGGAGTGATTATAGCAAGGGAATATGCAGAGCATAGCAATCCCTTGTAGCAGATTCCCCCAATAAGAGACGGCACTCCAAATTGAGGGTGAAGTAGAACTGACTGTACTGGCACATACAGCCTCTTTTATTCACAATCCACAAACATAGTATTGCCCACAGGGTTTTGAAATACAACCAATCAATCAGTACAATACACACAGACACTCCCACATAAATCCTCCCCTCTGCCTGTGATATGATTACTGAACACAATTATCACAGGCAGAGAAATACAGTATTATAAAACATATCACAGGGACCCCAAAACATGCAATAACCCCATAAAAAATATATAAAAGTATATCCTCGGAACCGGGGGATCTGGGTGAACCACAGATCCGTTCAGTAGTTTGGAAGATACAGTTTAATGCAGATTCCGCAGAACATATACAGGCTATATGAAAAATAATTACTATATAATGTGTCCCCTGTTGTATAATTTAAAACTACTGCATGATGTCTTTGTGCACCAAATACCGGCGAGATGGCACCGTCTAGAAAAGTCCAAACAGTGTCTGTGAGTTAAAATGGCCGCCATCCATTGTTCTCACCATGCGCTTCATTCATTGTTTTCACGGTGGGAACAAGCTCCCGAACAAGAAACAGATTGATCAGACCCACGAACCCCTACATTCGGTATTTTGACTGTATTGTGTATTACTGAAAGAGACAGACTGCACAGCCTGATTTCATGGAACTCTTTTGGGCAGGAGCCTCGTGTGTGGTCAGTCAAAATGTGACCTCCATGGAAATTTCAAACCTCTGAACCGATCTGGGAGATATATCGATATGTTGGTCCCCCACATATAACTTTTGTGGGGTTTCCATAGGTTTTGAGGGTACTGCTAAAATGTATGTTCTCTGGGCCTAGAGATGATTGAGGCACAGGGAAGGGTTTATCTTATTCTGTACGCGAGTGTCCTGGACCTGAGAGCCAATGTAACTGTGCATTTGTTTCTACTGTAGTCTACTCTCAGGTCCAGTGGGGAGTGCCCATTGCATGGGGATTGATATAAAAGGCTGTGTGTGGCCCCATTAAAACCAGTTATCTAATGGCATAGAGCCTCGTCTAATATTTGTGGGAGAAAGCTACAACAGCTGTCTCTCTTCTGCTTGGAGTGCTAAATCACTAGCTCTTGTAAGAGCTGCTTGTGGAAAACTACCCTTTTTAGCTGAATTTGCCACGAGTTCTTGGAGGGGACTACTTGCCAGCCTTTTACCCTGTGACTATGGTCCCTGCAACAGAATTGGTTAATAAACTTCAAACAGGTTCTGTTCGTGCAATTGGGACTATATGGTTTGTTTTCCGAACAACCGCACGAACAGAGACCACCCTGGAGCTTGTTAACACCTATTAACAACTTGGAACGTTTCTCACTGCAGTGTTCTAATTGTTCGTCTGGGTGGCCGCGTTTCCTATGAACAACCATGAGGTGGCGGCCATCTTGTTCGCATGAATGCAGGCAGCGGTGTTTGGGCATGAATCTCCTGGAACTAAAATCGGATACAGAAACTCCAGAACACCGCTGGATTTCCATCTTTGCCTGCATTCATTTCTATTCAGCTTAGAAGGGCACTGTTCGGTGAGATAATTCATCTGAATGAAGGGAACAAGCTCCAGGGTAACACTACTGACTCAGTTCGGTAGTTTGTTCATTTGCAAACTACCGAAATAGACCGTCCGCACAGCCTAATTCTCTGGAACTGTTTTGGGCATGAAATCATGCGGTCAGTCAAAAGAGACTTCCAGGAATTTCCTGAACCCCTGCTTGGGTGATTTTTGGATATGTTGTTTGTAGCGGATGGCACTGGGCTGTCCTGCAAATGTCTTGTGAATAACTGCATTCGTGTGATCTGCTGGTTTTATATGTGTTTAAAAGAACTGTATTCCTCTGATTGTTCGGTAGAATCATTCGAATAAACTAAGGGAATGAAACTACCGAACAACCAGACCTCCCCTGTGTGAAGTGTGTCCTCAATCACCCGTTGCAACATTGTTGCAAACGTGTAATTGACAAGTTAAGTAGCCGTCCTTTGTTCTCAGGGGTGGCCGCCATTCGACAAACGAACATGTGGCGGCGGCCATTTTAAAACTCCCGAACAGCGGTGTTTTGCTGTCGAGTGTCTGGAACTCAAATCGGACACTCGACTAGGCGAACACCGCTGAAACCTCCACAAGCCCGGTCCGTTCGGTTCCTATCTACCGAACGGCCCCTTGTTCGGTAGATAGAAAGAACCGAACGAGGGGATTTAGGCAAACCCTCCCTAGCCTCTATAGCTAGAGGCTTTCGTGCAGCTTGTTCCCTTACTCCAGGACTCCAGTGCGGTCGGTCATTTTATTCCCTCCATAGATTTCCCGAACCCCTAGTCTGATCTGGGTGATTTTTGGATATGTTGTTCACCCAGATCAGGGCTATCAGGTGATGTAGGATTTAAAGGGGTACCCCTACGTTTAGGGGTACATCCAGAATCGGGGGGAATTGCTGTACTGGATAAGGGGATTATGATGCTGGCTGAGGGGAGGAGATGTGTGGGAGGTTACCAGGACAGGATTGGCTACTGTACTAATGAGTGTAAATCCCTCCCTTGCATGGGAGCATGCTTTATAAGGAGACTGTGGATTAAAAGCTTTCAGTTCTGCTCCTGAAACTGTGTGTCGTCCAGTTATTGGGATTGCTGTGGGGAGATTGCTGTATTTTACCTGCTGGAAACCTTGCCTGTGGATTTACTATTTACTTGTTCCTGAGCCTCACTTGGATTATAAGCGGAGATAACCTGGGGAATATTGCATCTCCGCTACATTGTTCACCTAGATCAGGGCTACTATGGGTTGTAATATTTATGGGGACATGTTATGTTTTGGGGTGTTTTGTGTACTTTGGGGAAAATGTGTGTTTTTCTGCCTGTGGATAATTAGGTTATTGTATTAACTACTTTAATTATATCACAGGCAGAGGGGAGGGATTGTTTACTGTATGTGGGAGTGTCAGACACTGTACATTGTTTTTATTGGTTTGTACATCTTGCAATTCAGTGCTCCATCAGGTCCAGGGGGGTGTTCTCCTGGCCTAAGGAATTGTATAAAAGAACAGTGTGTGCCATTAAACAGAGATTCCAGCTTACACTCCAAAACTGTGTGTCGTCCTGTTATTGGAGGGAAAGAAGATTTACTCCTGTGTCTGCTGTTCCAGATTGCAGGGGATTAAACGGGGAAAGTCCTTGTAAAGACTAGAGATCCCAGGACTGAGTGTCGTCCAGTGCCTGGGGGTGTCTAGAGCCAATTCCCCAGTCGGCTCCAGCAGGGAGCGGTTCCAGGAACCCCAGTCAAGCCCTGACTGAGGGTAAAAGTGTCGAGGTTTGCCCCCTATTCCAGCTAGGAAGCGGTCCATTGTGAAGGTACCCAGCTGGGGGGAAAGAACATCTCTCCTGGCGAAACCCCTCTTCTCATTGGGGTGGCCACAACATACCCATGTAGTGGGTGAATACTGATGAAATGTGGGTTTTGAGTTTGTTTGCAGACTGATTGTATGTGTTGTGTGTAGTATGCGAATGTATATGGATTGTGTGGATTCCGATGGATTGTATGTATTGTCTGTAAATGCTAAATGATTGTGTGTAGTGTGTGCATGCAGACCTGTATGCATCGTGTGTGAATGTAGGTGTTGCAGCAGAAAGCATTGGTCTAACCATCCACAGCACTAAGCCTGCAAATACTATCCAGTTTGATTTAAAAAAAAACAAAAACACCATTGCTCGTGACAGCCCAAAACTAACCTCAATAAAGGCAGCCAACACGGCCAGTCCTCCACGTCGTTGTACGGCTTCACTTATACTGTCATACTCAGCCGAGTAATGAACTACGTGAATCTGAGAAAAGATAACCAACGTGAATAAACTATATCAACACGTACAGCCAGAACATTCAGTAAATCACACTAAATATACAGCCACAGGCAATAACCGGTCAATCACACTAAATATACAGCCACAGGCAATAACCGGTCAGTGACACTAAATATACAGCCACAGGCAATAACCGGTCAGTGACACTAAATATACAGTCACAGGCAATAACCGGTCAGTCACACTAAATATACAGTCACAGGCAATAACCGGTCAGTGACACTAAATATACAGTCACAGGCAATAACCGGTCAGTCACACTAAAATACAGCCACAGGCAATAACCGGTCAGTGACACTAAATATACAGTCACAGGCAATAACCGGTCAGTGACACTAAAAATACAGTCACAGGCAATAACCGGTCAGTGACACTAAATATACAGTCACAGGCAATAACCGGTCAGTGACACTAAATATACAGTCACAGGCAATAACCGGTCAGTGACACTAAATATACAGCCACAGGCAATAACCGGTCAGTGACACTAAATATACAGTCACAGGCAATAACCGGTCAGTGACACTAAATATACAGTCACAGCAATAACCGGTCAGTCACACTAAATATACAGTCACAGGCAATAACCGGTCAGACACTACATATACAGTCACAGGAAATAACCGGTCAGTGACACTAAATATACAGTCACAGGCAATAACCGGTCAGTGACACTAAATATACAGTCACAGCCAATAACGGTCAGTCACACTAAATATACAGTCACAGCCAATAACCGGTCAGTCACACTAAATATACCGCCACAGGCAATAACCGGTCAGTGACACTAAATATACAGCCACAGGCAATAACCGGTCAATCACACTAAATATACAGCCACAGGCAATAACCGGTCAATCACACTAAATATACAGTCACAGGCAATAACCAGTCAGTCACACTAAATATACAGCCACAGGCAATAACCGGTCAGTCACACTAAATATACAGCCACAGGCAATAACCGGTCAGTGACACTAAATATACAGCCACAGGCAATAACCGGTCAGTGACACTAAATATACAGTCACAGGCAATAACCGGTCAGTGACACTAAATATACAGTCACAGGCAATAACCGGTCAGTGACACTAAATATACAGTCACAGGCAATAACCGGTCAATCACACTAAATATACAGTCACAGGCAATAACCGGTCAATCACACTAAATATACAGTCACAGGCAATAGCTGGTCAATCACACTAAATATACAGCCACAGGCAATAACCGGTCAATCACACTAAATATACAGCCACAGGCAATAACCGGTCAGTCACACTAAATATACAGCCACAGGCAATAACCGGTCAGTGACACTAAATATACAGTCACAGGCAATAACCGGTCAGTGACACTAAATATACAGTCACAGGCAATAACCGGTCAGTGACACTAAATATACAGTCACAGGCAATAACCGGTCAGTGACACTAAATATACAGTCACAGGCAATAACCGGTCAGTGACACTAAATATACAGCCACAGGCAATAACCGGTCAGTGACACTAAATATACAGTCACAGGCAATAACCGGTCAGTGACACTAAATATACAGTCACAGCAAATAACCGGTCAGTCACACTAAATATACAGTCACAGGCAATAACCGGTCAGTGACACTACATATACAGTCACAGGAAATAACCGGTCAGTGACACTAAATATACAGTCACAGGCAATAACCGGTCAGTGACACTAAATATACAGTCACAGGCAATAACCGGTCAGTGACACTAAATATACAGCCACAGCCAATAACCGGTCAGTGACACTAAATATACAGTCACAGGCAATAACCGGTCAGTCACACTAAATATACAGTCACAGGCAATAACCGGTCAGTCACACTAAATATACAGTCACAGGCAAAAACCGGTCAGTCACACTAAATATACAGTCACAGGCAATAACCGGTCAATCACACTAAATATACAGTCACAGGCAATAACCGGTCAATCACACTAAATATACAGTCACAGGCAATAGCGGGTCAATCACACTAAATATACAATACAGGCAATAGCCGGTCAATCTACTAAATATACAGCCACAGGCAATAACGGTCAGTCACACTAATGTCATGCAGTCACGAAGACGTAACAGGTCAGTCACGCACTAAATAGCAGTCAGGCAATAGCGGTCGGTGACACTAAATGCTGATCACAGGCAATAACGGTCAGTGACACTAAATATACAGTCTGAGCAATAACCGGTCAGTCACACTAAATATACAGCCACAGGCAATAACCGGTCAGTCACACTAAATATACAGTCACAGGCAATAACCGGTCAGTCACACTAAATATACAGTCACAGGCAATAACCGGTCGCTCACACAAAATATTCAGTCACAGGCAATAACCGGTCAATCACACTAAATATACAGTCACAGGCAATAACCGGTCAATCACACTAAATATACAGCCACAGGCAATAGCTGGTCAATCACACTAAATATACAGCCACAGGCAATAACCGGTCAGTGACACTAAATATACAGCCACAGGCAATAACTGGTCAGTGACACTAAATATACAGCCACAGGCAATAGCTGGTCAGTGACACTAAATATACAGTCACAGGCAATAACCGGTCAGTGACACTAAATATACAGCCACAGGCAATAACCGGTCAATCACACTAAATATACAGTCACAGGCAATAACCGGTCGCTCACACAAAATATTCAGTCACAGGCAATAACCGGTCAATCACACTAAATATACAGTCACAGGCAATAACCGGTCAATCACACTAAATATACAGTCACAGGCAATAACCGGTCAGTGACACTAAATATACAGTCACAGGCAATAACCGGTCAGTGACACTAAATATACAGTCACAGGCAATAACTGGTCAGTGACACTAAATATACAGCCACAGGCAAAAACCGGTCAGTCACACTAAATATACAGCCACAGGCAATAACCGGTCAGTGACACTAAATATACAGTCACAGGCAATAACCGGTCAGTGACACTAAATATACAGTCACAGGCAATAACCGGTCAGTGACACTAAATATACAGCCACAGGCAATAACCGGTCAGTGACACTAAATATACAGTCACAGGCAATAACCGGTCAGTGACACTAAATATACAGTCACAGCCAATAACCGGTCAGTCACACTAAATATACAGTCACAGGCAATAACCGGTCAGTGACACTACATATACAGTCACAGGAAATAACCGGTCAGTGACACTAAATATACAGTCACAGGCAATAACCGGTCAGTGACACTAAATATACAGCCACAGGCAATAACCGGTCAGTGACACTAAATATACAGCCACAGGCAATAACCGGTCAGTGACACTAAATATACAGCCACAGGCAATAACCGGTCAGTCACACTAAATATACAGCCACAGGCAATAACCGGTCAGTGACACTAAATATACAGTCACAGGCAATAACCGGTCAGTCACACTAAATATACAGCCACAGGCAATAACCGGTCAGTGACACTAAATATACAGTCACAGGCAATAACCGGTCAGTGACACTAAATATACAGTCACAGGCAATAACCGGTCAGTCACACTAAATATACAGTCACAGGCAATAACCGGTCAGTGACACTAAATATACAGTCACAGGCAATAACCGGTCAGTCACACTAAATATACAGCCACAGGCAATAACCGGTCAGTGACACTAAATATACAGTCACAGGCAATAACCGGTCAGTGACACTAAATATACAGTCACAGGCAATAACTGGTCAGTGACACTAAATATACAGCCACAGGCAAAAACCGGTCAGTCACACTAAATATACAGCCACAGGCAATAACCGGTCAGTGACACTAAATATACAGTCACAGGCAATAACCGGTCAGTGACACTAAATATACAGTCACAGGCAATAACCGTTCAGTCACACTAAATATACAGCCACAGGCAATAACCGGTCAGTCACACTAAATATACAGTCACAGGCAATAACCGGTCAGTCACACTAAATATACAGTCACAGCCAGTAACCGGTCAGTGACACTAAATATACATTCACAGGCAATAACCGGTCAGTGACACTAAATATACAGTCACAGGCAATAACCGGTCAGTGACACTAAATATACAGTCACAGGCAATAACTGGTCAGTGACACTAAATATACAGTCACAGGCAATAACCGGTCAGTCACACTAAATATACAGTCACAGGCAATAACCGGTCAGTCACACTAAATATACAGCCACAGGCAATAACCGGTCAGTCACATTAAATATACAGTCACAGGCAATAACCGGTCAGTCACACTAAATATACAGTCACAGGCAATAACCGGTCGCTCACACAAAATATTCAGTCACAGGCAATAACCGGTCAATCACACTAAATATACAGTCACAGGCAATAACCGGTCAATCACACTAAATATACAGCCACAGGCAATAGCTGGTCAATCACACTAAATATACAGCCACAGGCAATAACCGGTCAGTGACACTAAATATACAGCCACAGGCAATAACTGGTCAGTGACACTAAATATACAGCCACAGGCAATAACTGGTCAGTGACACTAAATATACAGTCACAGGCAATAACCGGTCAATCACACTAAATATACAGTCACAGGCAATAACCGGTCAGTCACACTAAATATACAGCCACAGGCAATAACCGGTCAGTCACACTAAATATACAGCCACAGGCAATAACCGGTCAGTCACACTAAATATACGGTCACAGGCAATAACCGGTCAGTCACACTAAATATACAGCCACAGGCAATAACCGGTCAGTGACACAAAATATACAGTTACAGGCAATAACCGGTCAGTCACACTAAATATACAGTCACAGGCAATAACCGGTCGCTCACACAAAATATTCAGTCACAGGCAATAACCGGTCAATCACACTAAATATACAGTCACAGGCAATAACCGGTCAATCACACTAAATATACAGTCACAGGCAATAGCTGGTCAATCGAACT